ACAACAAAAAGGGGTAGACAACCCACGGCATGGGTCAAGGTTGTAGAGGACGTATGGAAGGGGCTCGACATCGACGAAGATGAAACGCTGGAAACGGAGGGTCTACAGGGGTTCAAGGAGAAGATATCTGTTGCTTGTGCCGAGAGAGAAGAACAGAATCTCAAGGAAAGAATCCAAGGACAAGGAGGGTCTAGGAGTGTACGAATGTTGAAGGAAGGAATAGGGTTCAAGGACTACCTACATGGACCAATGGATGCAGGAACAAAGCTTAAGGTCAAATTCAGGACCGGGGACATAGGCCTTCGAGAACGTCGACGAAGACATAGGACGGTAGACGAGGAAGACGACGAGTTCAAATGTGATTGCGGCTTCGAATGCGAAGACCGTGTTCATGTAGTCGCGGAATGTCCGTTGTACAAGAAGGAGAGGGAAGTGTACGTGACTGAGCTGGGAAAAATAGATGGGACGTACAGGGAGACGTTTGAGGCATGGAATGGAAAGGAAAGGACGGTAGCTGTACTGGAGCATAGGAGGTGGGTTGAAAAGGCGGGAAGTGATATTGTTAGGATAGACAAGAGAAGACATTTTTGAGCCACCTTTGGCAAAGCAGAAAGGAACGATTGGCCGGCCATCGGTGATCGGTCCTGTGGGAACAATGCTCCGTCNAGCTGTACTGGAGCATAGGAGGTGGGTTGAAAAGGCGGGAAGTGATATTGTTAGGATAGACAAGAGAAGACATTTTTGAGCCACCTTTGGCAAAGCAGAAAGGAACGATTGGCCATCGGTGATCGGTCCTGTACGTGCCTTTGCTGTATCGGGTGGCCCGTTCTGTATTGTTTTGTTTTATTTCGTTTTGTTTTTGTGTGTTGTCTTGTTTGTTTGTTTGTTTATCGCTACGGTAGTGAGTCTGGCGTGTCGTTCTCTTCGTCTTCTCTTACTCTCCTTCTGCTTACTCGGCTTAGTATTGTTTATGTTCTTACTCGTCTTAGTCTTTCTACTCTTCCAGTTGATAGTTACCTCGCATACAAGCGTGTAGAGGCGAGCGGAGGCTTCTAGACTATCCGCCGTTGATTTCTTTTGACTTGCGGAACCTTCGGGTCCTTTTTTTCTAACCTTTTTCTGGTAAGTTAGCCTGTGACCACAGGAATTGACCGCGTCAAGTGTTGGACTAGTACGGACAGGAGGTAGTTGTTGGCTACGGTTGAAGAGAGGTTAGGAAAAAGACTATTAAACAGCAACTACGGGTTTCAGAGAGTAAAAGTGGCTTGTCACGCCTCTGGCCCGTGTAAGAGAGAAGTTGCCATACTCCCGTCGTATTCTCTCAAACCAACCCCTGACGGAGGAAAAGCCGCACAATATGCCAGACACATCCAAACCGGTAGGCACCATGCCGTTGTGAAGCGGGCAGCCGTTGCTTGAGTGTCTCTTATCACACACGAGCCCCGCCAGACTTCGTGGCGCACTAATGCAGGTTCAGAACGTCGGAACGACGAGATGCACCGTGTCTGCGACCCAGCTAGATATCTGTGCGCCGACCGAGTCTCGGCCTAAGAGCTCTCTCCTACCATTGTGGCACGTTTGATCAGGTCGTGCATGTCTGTCTTACTTTCCTCGACCCGTGTTCGCTCATCCATACTACCGTAGAGCCTCACAAACATGGCGTTGTTCATGCCGCACTTTTTTCTCGGCGATATCCTCCAGTAAACAACACAACTAAATAGTGTTCTGCTACCCCCGAGGAGTCGCCCGTTTCTGCTTGTTCAGACTGAGGGAGCTCGGCTGTTGATTTATCAGAGACCAAAGACCCATGCTCTGCAAATATCGGACACGTGAAGTATCTGTCTCATTTTTTTCTCTAAAAGGGATATGTTCACGGGTCGTTGTTTGGTTGTTTCATGTCAGCATGTGCCGACCAAGCACAACAAGGCGCTGACGCAGTGCTTTAACAAGATATATTTCATGCCCACCATCATGAGCATCTAAATACGGCACTGTACGCAAGGCATCCACTATGAAACGGCCTGAACTTCGTTGGCTACGGTTTGAGAGGATTTTCCCCTTAAACCGGATTAACAGAAAACCGGATTTCAAGAGAAAATTTCTGGCTTGTCCCGACCCTCGCTTACACCGCAGCCACCACTGTACTGGAGAACGGAACGGCTTTACGTCAAGACGACTACTACAACTCGAATGTTGGGCTTGTACTGTAGGTTCGGTGGATGAAGATGCAACTACGTAACATGATCATCTCGCCTGCGCGACTTCCTCACGGAGAAGTAGCGAAAGCAATATCAACAATCACCACACCGCCAACTCCAGAAACTACGGCAAAAGAACCATCAACAACAAGCCCATCCCACCTGCAGTGCTTCGACTTTCAGGGTTTCTCTTGCCACCTCCGCCGTCTGGCTCGCGAAATACCGCCTGATCTCCGTCCCGAACATGCTCAGTACCCAGATCTTCCAAGATCAAAACAACGCGACGGCCACGACAACGGGGGGGGGGGGACATCATGC